TAATCCCCCGTTGCGCGAAGTGAGGGTTCTCGACCCCGCACAACATGATCTACTCGACCACCATTATGGTTACCGCCAAAAAAAAACCGACGTAAAAAAAAAAACCGGTAACCTGGTTGCCGAGTTCACGAAGTGAATTGGCTTGTTTTACAACGTCGTTGCCAAGCGACGAAAACCCAATCCCGATGGCAAACACCGAGCGGGGGGCTTGTTTTACAACGTCGTTGCCAAGCGACGAAAACCCAACCCCGATGGCAAACACCGGGGGGGGGGGATGGGGGGGGGGTTTCCGTGGACCACGAACTTCAGCTTCGGCCAAAGCCTTCAAGCCAGCGTCCTCAAGGTGGGAGTGTATTTCGTCGAGGTGTGGCGATCTTCGATGAGAGGGAGGGGTGAGGATGATCATGTTTTGCATGCTTTAGTTGTTAGACAATTGCCCAAAATAGGAAGGAACGATTGACCATTTACCAGGCAGTGAATTGAGTATATCCGGCAGAATATCTGAGTGCTTGCAAACAGTCGAAAGCATTGTGGAACCCCCAGCGACACGGGCTTAGGCTTGGTCGAAGAAACACCTGACGGGTGGATGACTGCTCGTTGCGCGAGTCGCCCTTTATGATCGCGACTGGAGGGAAGGACGGGGTAGCGGGTAGAGAACGTTGCTCTGTGAGTACCGACAAAAGGGTGGTTGATACGGCATGTGCGTACCTGTGTAGCTTAAGAACATGACACCGCGCGCGGACACTACTCTGTCTGGTGTACAACCCCGCATGACGTATCTCGAGCGCGATGCACCAACCTATACAGTCGATCCTTAATGATGGATACACGTGTTTTCATTGTTCTTGATGGAGTGGATCGTCCCAATCCTTCAGTGGATAATACCTTGCCGCTCCTAGGAAAAACGGGGATGGATGCGGTATACCTCCAACGACGTGCCTTAGGCAGAAAGTTTCTGAACACCCAGATGAGCCGGAGCAACCAGTAGTTCTCGTCGAACAGTCGTTACTCCAGTAGTTGGACCTTTCTTTGTGAACACAAGGAGCGCTCACAATAGTGTGCGACGCGGTGCGACCGTCCTCGACAATTTTGCTCACATTAATATGCGATGCGGTCCAACCGTCTACGACTGTTTAGCGCACAGTGAGCTACTGCCACACGTGGGTGCAATCCAGGCAGAACAATGCCCTCACAAACCTGGTAGCACCGCGCTGATATACTACTGCAGAAGTTGAATTCACACGCTGGATGACACATATACCAATTGATGAACAACGCACCGTTCCGCATCGTCACAGGGTGCCTTCGAAAACATACAACACAACAAACTCTCACAGTGTAGAGGAAAAACACCCGGCCTGAGGGTGCCTTGCCAATCAGTGTCTTCGAAGAGACCCAAGAATAAATTGCAGTGTGTGTTACTCACTTTTCCTCCGTCGACGCGTGCGTGCGTATGTATTCGAATGAGGCACACAGGTCGCACCAACGTGGGGCTCTGGCACTGAGAAAAGGCAGTGCGGAGGAGCACGGGCAAGGCCTGCCTGTAGAGTTGAAGCGTTGAACCAACAACACAATGGAGACAACGTCGTTGTTCGTAGCATCGCTACATATATGCAACGCGGTCGGATGACATCGGGCGGCAGGACGCAAATGCTCCTTATGAGGTACTGAATGGGGAAATTGAAGAAGAGTATTCACATGGTTCCCATGGCGCGCCACGAGACACCATGACACACCATGACTTCTCCATTGTGTTCCATGAAACACCATACGGAACTGCTCATGGTCCCCACGAAATTCCCATCGGAAGCGTGAAAATGCGTTGTTTCCCATCAGATTGGCTAAATGTGATCTCCATTTTACTGTACATGGTGCGCCATGCATGGTGCTCCATGAAAAAATTGTCCACGACGTGAAACAAAACAATGTCGCAACCTTTCTGGACCTCAGGCTCCGCGCATATTCACGCACATGCTCGCGAACCTCCTGAGCAACATCCGGTCGGGCGCGCAGGTGGCGCCACGGTTCGCGGAGCGCCATTCTTGGACACGGTGCACGGGTCGCGAGCGGCATACATGCGAGGAGCACAAAAAAAAAAAAAATGAACTGACCCCCCACCGTCATTTGTCTGTGTGTCCCCCTAGCCTCGAATCTTCCTCTGTCACACAAAGACTCTGCCCCC